TTCGTTTGCGTCCCGGACAAAGGTCTCCAGTGGCGCCAGTCTTGGACGCGTGACTCGGTCCTTCTGGCCACTCTTTTGCGTGGTGGGTCGTTGGATTCAGGACTGCAGAATCCCGGAGATCAGGAGCGGTGGTGGGTCTCAGGGCACAGGCCTCCCCATTCGCTCGCCGGCGGCCGTTTCACCCTGGGAAGAGTTGCGGGAGCTGCTCCGCGCTGCCCTCGGCTGTTCCTGAGCGCCCAGGAGCCCAGCGCAAGTCACCCCGGACTCCAGCTAGCGGCCGCGGGCACGCCAGCGCAGCGCTAGCGGTGGCCAAGAGGTGGTCTGGCAGGGCGGTGGACCTGTGTGCCGCGGTCATGATCAAGCTTGGAGAGGTAAGAGAGTTTTTTCACTTTAGCTTCTTGGCATTTAAATATTTAATGGATAGATTTCTAAGAGGGGCCCTTCTGCAGGGGTGCCTTTCACAGCCAGGGATGTGTCCGAGGTAGGTTGCTCTTGAACTCGAAGCCAGCCAGCTTGCAAAGAATGCCAAGCCGTCCTCTCTCCAAAACTTGTGATTCTATAAAACATAGCTTCCGACCTCAGATGTGGGGGCTTCTAGCCATGTAGAAATATTTATCGAGCATATAAAATATTATAGCGGGCATCTTAAACAATAGAAAAGAGAAAATATCCGTGGGGGTTTGTTTGGAAATGTTATTTGGAAGCTAAAGTCCTTTCTTGAAAATTTGAACTGGTTTATTATTAAACCCTTACTTCTTTAAAAAAAAAATATTTAATGCTGGATGGATGTTTTCAGAGAGCTGCTCTAAGTGTAGCAGCCAAGATCCAGGGTGCAGTGGAAGTTCTTGCTTATGGGGCAGTTAAATAAAGCAAAACAAAAAAACCCAGTTCATAACCTCGTGTAATAAGTGCATCTATAGGTGGCTTACACAGCCCAGCTAGCAGGCCTGAGGAGGCTTATGGGGACCCAAAAAGGGGTGAAAGAATTTGTCTTTGACATAATTACAGGGTTTTTTAGGTAACACTAAATTAATTTCTTCAAAGTTGGATTTCAGAAGCCTAGATGTTCTCTCCAAGCCAGCAATAGCTTCATTTTATTTGAGCACATGGGTGCTCATGGATATCTGGGAAAGAAAACTGTGTCCCTATATGTGTGTACCTAGCCTGGGTTAAAACTAAACTACCGCTGTGGGGATTAAGTCTGCTTTCATATAGTTGTGCCGCAGGTGTGAATATGCTGACCCTCTCTCCACATTTCAGATGTGGTTTGGATAGCCTTGTTGGGGCCATTCGCCTCAAATCACATACAGTGGTGGGGGGGGACACTTATTTCTATAATATCCCAGCTCCGTGAGCTGGCACTTAAGGCCTTGTTTCCGGGAATGTGGATGAGGCCAGAGGAGTCCAGGCCTGCTTTATACCTGCCTTCCTGGACTGCGAGCTCTAGTTGGTCCTGAGTAAGATCCTCAAAGGGGGGGGAGTCTCTTTTAGCGGAGTCTGAACCAAATACTAACCTTGACCATTTTTTTGTTTATGTGTTTTTTTTCTTTACTAGTCTGCTTTACGTCGCTCACTGTCCCTGTTTTAAGCTTTTGTTTATTACTTAATCAGAGGCATTTAGCAGACAGAAAACTCTGGGTGAGACATTTGGGAGCCATCTCGGCTGTAGACGTGCGTCTTTGGAAGGTATGCCACCCAGAGCTGCTTGGTAGCATTGGCCGTGATGGGGTCCTTAGCAGAAGCTCACTCTCCTTGCTGGAAAAATGCTGGCAGTGTTTTCCCTTGTCCACAGAAGGACGGAGATTGTGTGGTGATTAGTTGAGGTTCTTCATCATGCTTAGGACTATAGCAGACGCCCAAACAAGTGGACATCTCTACTACTCTCCAGGCCATTGTGTGGAACCCAAGGCAAGCAGGAAAGACCAGAGCGTCAGAGGAGGTGGTTCCAGGGCCTTGAACCAGGGCACTATTTTGACAAGTATCAGGGTCCTATATATTGCCAGAATGTACCCTAGTACTTGGGAAACAACAGATTAAGCATGTTTGTTTCCAGGGAGGCCATCCAGGACATCTTCCCATGCTCAAATAGCTTGTTTGGGCAACATTTGGGGGGGGGCGTAATACACATACACAAAAGAGGAAACATGCACTTGGTTTATTTTTCTCCCTGTTGAATTTAATATAAGAAACAGGTAAGCGGGCCCTGGTGGAACAGACAGTTGTGTGGACTCCCTGGGGGCATGAGGCTCTGTTTCTGATATTAAATCAGGGCCGAGCCGAGGGTGGCCACAGTAGAGCCTCACAATGCTTCACACTGTCCTGGGCAAGTGATCTCCAGGGCAGATCACTTGGGCATGCAGGCTGGATTAAAAACTAGGCTGGTGAAAGCTAGGCCCACTGTGCGTTCTACTGTGGTAGCATGCTCCAGGCTTTGTAGTGGTATGACTTGCATCTGGCTGGTGACCATTGGTGAAACCTGTCTTTCTGCCTCTATCTAATCACCAGAAGGACACAGAGCCTGCCCCAGCTCATCATAGACAAGGTCCTACTGGAAGGCAGGAGGAGAGGGGTGTGGAGGACTTTGCCCACCCAGATGGGCATCCTACTGGGCAGGTACTCCTTTCTGTCCAGGAGAACCTCTTATGTGCCTTGAAAGAGGAACAGTGCTCCTGGGAAGGGCCAGGCCTTCCGGGCCAGGCAAGAAACATCTTGTAACTTCCATGCCTCATTTTTTATTGTTACGGTTGGATTTTCATGGTTGTATTTGCATGTGTGGAGTGAAGGAAGAATACTGATATAGAACTCAGTATGCTGGAGTGCCCAAGCTCACCCTGGGGTGTGGAATTGGAGCATTCCAGGTTCTAATTTGTCCTTGTCTTCGGCTCACCATGTGACCCAGCAAAGTCCTGTTGCCTCCCCAAGCCTGTATCCTGAGCATTCCAAAGAGGAATACAGATGCCAATCTCACAGGATGCAGACAGCATTATTTTTATAAGGTGCTATTGCTGGCATGTTGTCTGGAGCCATTCAATGGCTATGGTATGGTTATTATTGTAAATGAAATCACTATAATTACTTATATATTTATCTTTTAATACCTTGTGATTGTATTATATATGATATGTTATATTCTAGATAGCAGATCCCATTTCTGGTTTATCCAGAAAGGACACCAAGAAGTTGACTTCCCAGCCAGTGTCTTAGGGTAGGCTGGTGGGAACTTGCAAATTCAGAATCTTCCATATCTCAGGGGACTTTGTCTGAATGTGACCACTATATGCATTATGGATCTTGCCTTGGGTACAGGAGATGAGACCCTTGGGGATTCAGAATGTGCTACCCCTTCACAGGGCAGTATGGGGTCTTACTGGAAAATGACATCAGGGTGTTTGTCCGGGTCTGAATTCTGTTCCGGATAGTGGGCTAGAGTGGCCCTGGCAACTTCGAGCATCCTTGCTAGAGATGCAGATAGGGATATGGTAAAGTTTTGCCACTCTGGCAAATGAAGGGTACATTTACCAAATAGCTTGTTTTAGAGAAATTTTCTCTTGGCTGTTTGTTCAGAAAGACCCAGAAAGATTGTCTTTTTCTCAAAGCACCTTGTTGGAACAAAAAGAAACTGTAAGAGCATTAGCCACACTTTCTGATGTTATCAGAACGATGTGTGAGAAAAAGCAACAATTGTCTCCAGGCAAAGACAATGGATCTTTTATATAGGATATTTATTTTGAGGACTGACCAGTGTTCCATTGGCTGGGACAGTCATTAGAGTTCAAGCATTCGAGTATTGTGAGCCCTGGCCTCACAGTCAAGGGCAGAGATTTATGGGGGAGTGAAACGAAAGTCCCCTGAGTTGTGGTTCTTGGGAATTTTCAACTGGTATGCCCATCTTTTTTTGTAGAGTGCAGTTTAAACTTAACAAATTTATTTTTTTCCGTCTGTGATTTCTTTCCAAAGGCCAACTGGGGGTACGTCTGCAGCCCTTGAAAAGGTGGCCAGGTTTTGGGCTATGGGACTGCTGAAGTTTCCCTTAGGTCAAATCTGATCAGTCTAGCTGTGTTCCAGAATGCAAGTGAATAAAATGGACTCAAAGAGGCAGAATCACTTCCCAGGGGCTCCATCAGACAGCGTGGGCCCACATTTGTGGTTTTCCAATGTCATCTCCTCCTCCTCCTCCTCCTCCTCCTCCTCCTTACATCCTCTTCTCAGATGAACTTGGGAGTGGCCTGTAGTTTGTGGGATAACTGAGTGGAGAAGCCCACACTGGCCCTCCTTTATATTCCCATCTATCGAAAGTATTTTGTGACTCGTGATAAACAAACCCAGTGTGTGGAACCATGAAGACTGTCTCCTGAATTGGCTGTTTGCACTGGATTTAGCCTCGAGGCCTCTATACCAAGGAGAGTATTCCCAGCCTACCCTCTAAGGACTGATCTGGCCCAAGCTTTGCTTAGTGGTAGGCCACATTAAAAATGAGGCCAGTGGCTGAGTCTCACCTTGGAGATTCAGAGTGGCCTTGCTGTGGCCAGGGATTGTATAGAGTGCTGGAGAGGGTCGGCATTATGCAATTCTGGGAGTTCCAAGTGGCACCCTTAGTCAGAGGACACCTGTTACTTAGGTGACCCTTAGTTAAGACACTTCTACCAGGGCTAGTGGAGGAAGACAGACAAGAGACAGGTCCTGGCAGGGAACACTTATTCATTACTCAGAAGAATTTTTTTTTTTTGGTAAATAATATTTGTCTTCAGAGTAAGGTTTTCTTTTTAAAAATTGCTTTTGTTCTTTTTGTTTATATTAATCTGTGCCTCCAAAATGCCAAGCCAAGAAACTTTTAGAGATGTCCAGACATTCTCTCAGCCTGTGAGTGCAGGTGTGGAAAAACTGAAATCACAGAAAAGAATGAAATTGTGTGTCCTGGGCAGAAAGCAAAAACAAAACCCTGAAAACATGAGTTATATTCACTTTCTGGAGGAAGCAGGCACAAAATTCAGTGTAGTCTCGCCATCAGATTTTAGCATCTTCTAGTTGGAGTTTGGGATCTGGAGTCTCCTCCTTATGATGCAGAGGTGTGTGCACAGGTATCTGGAATTCCCTGTCCAGGCAATGGGAGGGAGAGTTTGTGAGAGGTGATGGCCATCAGGCTGGGATAGGTTGTCCTTGTGATTGTAACATGTACACATGAGGCAGACAGCCTCATGGTATATTTTTTGAGGATGGGTAAATTTTCCCTTCAGATTAAAGAGGAATGTTGCTCAGGTGCTCTGACTTTCTGATACTGGGCTGGCTTTTTCTGTGAGCCTCCCTTTATACTACTGGGATTTCTGGCCAGAGTAGCACTCAGCAGAAATATCTTAAATTTAGAATTTCCTTTGATATATTTAAGAAAGGTATTTCCATCCAATTCAAGCTTTTATAATTACATCTTAAATGATTATAAACCATACCAGCACTGCAGCCTCCTTTCCCCTTACCTTTGGGCAGTAAGAAAAATGTGGCCAGTCCTACCCTGGATTGCATGACACTCAGACCTGACAGGGCTGGTTCTGACCTGGAGGGACTTGTGAGAGTGTCACAGTCCATGCATGCCAACTGTTGAGCCTTCCCACCTAGAGAAGTGCTTGTTGATGGGGAGTCTAGCCAGGCCTATGGCATGCAGCTGCATCCGATAAGGACCCTATGCCCTCCGTGGTGTTTCTGTGTCCCAAGGCCTCCATGGCCTGCTACAGTTGTAGTGAGACTTCTGTTTACTGGATGGCAAGCAGTAGTCACTTCTGATTGTGGCAACACTGGGTGTATGGGGGGCACCTCCTCTTATGGCCATGTGATCCAGGTTCCCTTGTCTCAGCAGGACCCTCAAATAGCTACTGGTAAGGCTTCAATGGCTTCTCTGCATTGTAGACTGACAGAACAGGCCCCATTTCACACAGCATAGGGACCCTTCTCCTCCCAGGGCCAGGCTCTTGGCAGCCATGCCAAACCATTGCTGGCATGGATTCCCGGCGTTCTTGGTCGAGCGCATGGCATCGGAATGCTACCTGCTTTGTCTCTGGCGTCAGCTGGCAAGCAGTCACGTGGCCGTATGCGTGAGGCCAGAGCTACTAGAGACCAGAGATGCCTCCCGGGCAGCTTCCTCATAGATCGCTCTGCCTATCTTCTTCTTGGACTTCAGCATGACTGTCTGAGCAGGCAGAAAGCAGAATAAAACTAGTAGGCTGCCCAGGGAAGGCCAGATCTATGTGGTTTGCCTGGCCACCCTTTACCTGAGTCACCATGGACAGAGAATCCCTCACCATGTCCTACATGACGAGGAGTTAGTTGGCCCATGGTCAATGGTTCCCCCACCATCCCTGGTGGCCGAGCTGGCCCTGTGGTGCCTAGGTATCTGAGGACAGATGGCATATGCTGCTCTCCCATAGATTCATTGCATTTCTCCATGAGTGCCTCTGATGTCATATAAAGGGCTCAAAGTGACATGGAGCTGAGAGGACAGTCAAGCAGATCTAGCAGGGGCAGGCACCTGTAGGAGAAGGTGGCTGAATCTGATAATTTCAGCAAAGTCGCCCGTCGGGCCCTTAGCCCCTCTGGCTGTTTCAGAGGGCTGCAGCATAGGATTAGGTTTCCAAGGCAGTGACAAGGAGTGGCTTTAGTTACACTGAAGGATCTAGGAGAACAGAGGTGGTGTGTTTCAGCTCTACCCTGGCACTCCTCCTCGTTCTTGGCTGCTTGGTCACTCTGGGATCCTCTTGGCTCTCCCAGACATCGGGTACTGTGGACAGTACCCAGCGCCAGGCATACTGTCCACATCCCATCAACTACAAGTTGGAGACATAATCCCCCTCGTTAATTTAGGTGAGAAAATAGAGGCTGAGAACTTAGCCAAATTCAAACCCATAGTCCAGACTCCTGACTGAGGCAGCTCTAGCCTCCATGATTAGGATAGGTCACGCTAAGAGCCCTGGTCAGCGGGTAGCTGGAATGGGAGCCCTGGCTCTCCCATAGGAGAACAGCCGAGTGCCAGTCACCTCCTGCTACTCTGTAGAACCCGGCATAGGAACAATGCGGCCTCTATCTGGAGCAGTTCGGGCAGCCTGGAGTCCAGGCCCCTCAGCACGGCTTGGCTAGCCAGGCAGTCGCAACATGGCGCCAGGGCCACCCTGCCCATCTACAGGGCTGGCTGTCGCCTGGGCTGGGGCTGAGCTGGTATTCCAGACGTTCTCAGGCTAGCTGCTGAATGGTCAGGCACTATGGTATCCTCCCTCCTCTCCCTGTCGTCCAGCCTCCGCCTTTTTTTGGTGGTGGGTTTGGGGGCCCGGCCCACCCGCCTCTGCCACGTCTGCCATCCTCCAGGCACCCACGAGCATCTTTCGAAAATTCCCGGTGGGCGGGGCCGAGCTGTAGCGGCCGCCTCTGCCCCCCCCTCCCTGGGAGCCAGTGCCAGATGAGAGAGAGCAGGAGACAAAAGTAGCATTTTCCTCGTCCTCCTAGGCTGGCAGCAAGGCCTTCCCCCAGCACTTGCTCCTGGCATTCTTAACCCCGGGTGCCAGAGTAGCCAAGGCCCAGGCCAGGACCCACGGACTGATGGACGCTAAAGCCCAGGAAGCCCAAGGGCCTGTCCGGCAGAGACTGGCACCTGGGGACAGCCTTCAGGCTGGTGGGAGCCCTCTTACTCAGCCAGGGCAGGGGACATCGTTTTCACTTCCTGGCTTTTGAGAAAGTGACCCTGTCCTTCAGTTCCTTGGTAAGTGACCTTCTCCCTTTCGCCTGCTGGGGATGAGCAGAGGGCCCTGCCATCTTGTGCTCCGTGCCTGTTACGTCTCCTTCCCTCTAATTGGCTTAACCCAAACCCCAAATTCTATTTCAGAGGCCCCCTCCCAGTCTTGAGTGAAGCAGGCACTGCCAAAAACTGCAGGGAAGAGAGAGAAACCAAGCCATTTATTTTTAAGATCTAAAGCTATGGCTTTCGAAATGATAATGAAAACACACGTTCGGTGTGTTTTCACAGTGGCTGCATGTTCGATGAGGAGCTGAGGGCTGGAGGAGGCATCAGTCGGCAAGTCATCCTTCCTTGCCTGTGTTGCTTTGTTGTTGAAGGGGGTCTTATTATTTCATTACCATTTTTTTTTAACTTTGGTAGTACCGGGAATAACAGAGGGGAAAAACGCAGAACCATCGTAGGGTCCTCCAGCAAAGGGCACAGGCAAGGCCAGCCACACACAAGAGGGAGGACTTTCGTGTTCAGAAACAGAGGTGGTTTTATTCTGTCCCGAATCCCTAATGCCACCATTTCCACAGTTTAGGGATTTAGTTTTTTCTGCCTTTCGTTTCATTTTGTTTTATTTATTTATTTTTTAAAAAGAAGAAAGCTTTTCTTGGCTTGACAGCTCAGTGTGGGGAAAATCTGGGGTTCTACACTCTGCTTTTAAAGTACTTGTTTTTAAGGTTTTTGTGGTTTTTTTTTTTTTTTTTGAGGGGAGAATCTAACATCACAGTAACGTGCCCAGCTTGTAACCACCTTGCCAGGCTGGGAGAGACATGCCCATGGGCACCAGCCACCAAGCAGACCTTTGGAGAGAGCACCAAGTGGTTCCTCACCAGCAGAGTTGTGCCAGGATACACAGAGCCTAAACTGTTGGCTGATGAGGCTATGGAACCCCTGAAGACCTTTGTGTAACCCACCATGCCAATGCTGCCGTGAGCTCAGTTAGTGGCTATCTGAGTTTAGTTGCAGGCCCCATCCCTTTATAAAAAGAGGACATTTGCAGAGCCCAGCTGCCTCACCTCCACCCTTCTGGCATGCTGACAAAAGCACCCTTGACCACAGCCTGGTTCCCTATGTTTGAGGGTAGCTGGGGTCTTGATTTATGGGAACTGGAAAATCCTACACAGAAAGTTCCACTGCACAGGAAGAGGAAAATTCCCAAGTACAGACATCTTTGTTTCCCTAGTCCAGAGGCACATGGGCGATGTGTGTCCAGGGGCTTGACTATAGCAGCCGCCCGGAGCAGACTTCACCAAATATGAAAACGGAACCCAGCCCGGCTGCTTTTGTTCTTATGCTAGGCAGCAGTCGATACGGAAGGGTTTGGGCTGCGGAGACAGGCATATATAGCTGAGATAATTAAAACATTTTCACGATTATGACAGCCACATTCTGCTGCTGCAAGCTGGAGGATTCATTCCACCCAAATATTTAGCAAGCATCGGATAAAACACTAGTGGCAAAATAAAAGTAATAGGGGGAAAAACAGTGTAATATATTTCAAAGGCAAAAGCATGGCAAAGAGAGAAATAGGCAAGGAAGAAAAGGGAGGTTAACAGCTTGAAAGAACCTGCATTTTAAAAGCTGCCCACCCTTTGCCTGTTGTTTTTAATAGTTAATGTAGGTGAATATAGCTCCAATTTTAAGTTCTGGATGCATGTGTGGTAGAATTTTTTGAATGTTAATTCATCTTGCTTTTGGACAAGATAGGGGAGAGTAGCAGAAAAAAATCCATGTAAATATCTTCACTGTTAAATTAGTACCTTTCACTCTGAGTAAATTTACCCATTACTTTTAGTGTATGTCTGTCACACTGTCCTTATGCACGTGCAAAGATTTAAGTATCCACTTGCTACCTTAACTTTTGAATTCCTTTAGCCACAGACCCCCCTGACCCCCAAATGTAAAATGTCATACTCTTGTTTTTTAAAAACTGGGCAAAATCTTAGCTCTTTCCATGGCACCCATTGCTTTTTGACAGTATTAAAAAAAAATAGAAAGAACCACGAAAAGCACTTTCCACATCACTGCTTCTATATAAATTCCACTATAGACAGAAATTATACATTCTCGAGGCACAGATGGGCTGGTCTGTCATTACCACTGCCTGGTACTTGTTGGAACACACGGCATATTTTAATTGTGGAGTCAACAATTTCAAAGAACTGAGGTCAAAATAAACAAGCTGCATTTGTGTCGAGAAGCAAACTTGTTCCATGATCTTCTGGAAGGGCTGATGGAGTACCACTGCTTTGTTAGATTTTTAGTCTCTAGATACTCATGTATGTGTACTGTTTGTGTGTGTGTGTAGGCATTTGCATACCATCACACGCATGTGGAGGTCAGAGCACAACTTGCAGGAGTCAGTTCTCTCCCTCCACTGTGTGACTTCCAAAAATTGAGCTCAGATTGTCAGGCTCCGCAGGCAAGTGCTATTACCTGAGAGCAGGCTCTCCAATCCTGTCCCCATCTTGTAAGACTCCAAATGCCCTGTGTCAAAGGTCCTTCCTTATTTTAATTAATTACCAATTTTTATCTCCAATTCCAACTTGTGGGACATGGAATTATTAATGTATCTCCTTAACTATAAGGAGGTTCAGCCTCTGGATATTCTGGATTGGCATGCATGGAATTATTTTGAGACCTGCATGAAAAAAAATGAATATTTCAAATGGTTGAAAAGTACATTTAAGTCCAAACTTGAAAAAAAATTCAGTGAGTCAATTGCATAGAATAGGTATAAATTTAAAAAGATAAGGAAATGCAGAATTTATTGGGCTGTATCAACACACTAGAGGCCAGAGCACTTTTGCAGCCACAATAATTTGCAGATGATAATTGCTTATTTTGGGAATTGTGTACATGTGATGATGTAATCAGCCCTAAGCTGCACTTTCGCCCCTTTCCCATGTGTTCAGCACTGACCTCTGTACTTCTGGAGTCAAAAGCTGTGTTCCTGGTCTGTAGAGAGCATTAGAGGATCCTGCGTTGGGAGAGAGGAAGGGAAGGGCCTTGCTGCACACTGTCCCTGCACCCATTTGTTAATAGAAATACTTTGTTGTGGCTTGTTTATTTGAAGGCTTGTACCTGTCATGGTGGAGATGTTAGCGGACAGTGGACATGGAACATTGATGAACTCCTCCACAGCGGGCTAGGAGTGGTAAGTCTTGAGTGTCTAACCTCTTCATACTTCTGCTGTGGGTCTGCAGGTCTGTCAGCCACTGCCTCCGAGTCAAGGGAAATGTGTGTCCTTGGACTGGGCACTGTGAAGGCTACCAAGGCAAACTGAGAGGGTAGCGACAGTATTGTGTCAATCACGGGCATGGCTTCAGTACTGTTTGGGTCAGGGATACAGTGGCTTTTCACTTTTGGAAGATCACGTATTTAGGGGAGTGAGACAAAGAGTTGGTCTGGTTTTGTATTCTGACTATAAGTTCACTTTCTGAACCTCAATTTCCCTGTCTATAGAATGGGAACAGGAAGCAGAGGCCTACCCAACACCAGAAAGCTCAGTTAATGGAGCATGTCCTTGCCCAATCATTGCTTCCTTGCTGTACTTTGGAGCCTCAGAACATTACCAAAGCACCTGGAGAGGCGGAGAAATCAGAGAGATTCAGCCAGCTGAGCGGTTAGTTCAAGAACCAGGCCCCGATGGCCCTTCCTCCAAAGTTCCTACAGGTCAGCTATGTTTTTCACTAGTGTGTGCCCATCCATGGATGTGTATTGAGGTCTTTGCAGGGAAAGGTGCATAGGGGTATGTGTGCGTGACATGCAAACACATACATGGGTGTCTATTTTCCCAGTGGCTAGCATTCAGACCTGGCCCAGGTACTCGTAATAGATGGGCATTTTCCAACAAGGTGGGCAGTGCCTTTTAGATATTGTCTCTCTTCTTCTTTAAGTGGACCATGTAGCCCTTTGTACACCTTTTAATGACTGTAGTAGACAGCCCATCACTATCCCTAGGGGCCTGATATGAGCCCCCTTCCCTAGGCTGGGGGGAGTTGAGGTGGGGTGGGATACAATCAGTCCCAGAGCAAAGACAGTCAGATGTAGTTATCAGGTCCAGGCAAAGCCCAGACCGCCTTCTCCCTGTGTGGATGGACAGTTCCAGGCACCGGCCATTTGCAGACTTGGAGGAATGAGAGCCTCTGGGCCCAGCAGAGGAAATGGCGGCCCAGAGCGGGAGAATCTAGGAAGGCGGGCCGAGGGCGGGGAGCTGCCCGGAAGTCCTGCTATTGCTGCTGGTCAGCTGCTAGGGGCCTTCTTCCAAGGAGCCACCCACAGGGCTGGGCCTTCCCAGGCAGGTCTGTATGTGCCTACATGCATGCTGGGCCCGGGGCAGGGCTTGCTCGTCAGGAACACTGTACAACAGAAGGGTTAGATGAGATGGGACTGAAGCCTGGCATACCTTCTGACAGGTCTTGGAGCTTGATTTTTAAAAAGAGGGTTACAGCACCAGTCTCAGACTCCGGAGGAAGCCCATGAATTGTCTTTATTAACCTCATTGTGCCCTAGTAGGAAGATATAGGAAGCCCGGATTTTTAAGTGAGGTACTCTTTCACCTCAGCCTTAGTGTTCCCCCTCTCAAAATGGGAGGCCATCAGGCACAGGGGCTACTTATGAAATTAAATAACTAGGATGGGATGGGACATTTGACCTGTTGCAGGGTTGTTGATGGGCAGCAGTTACGGGTGGACCATGGGAAAGAGTCCTTAGCATTGGGCCTTGTGACTCTCTAGGCTTTGGATTTGGGTAGGGGATGCAGGCTAGAGCTGGGGTGCTCAGGAGGTAGCCTGGCCATACTAGTATGTACGGGAACCTCTGGCCCAGTTTCCTGGGCGCCCAGCCCTGCGCAGGATTCCTGGGGTGGGTGTGCCTATGTTTCTGGCTTAGGCGTGGGTGGAGGGATCCTGAGATCCTGCCTGTTCTCGCCCTGCCAGGGCTCATAGGATGAACCTCACCTGGGCCTGGGCTTTCAAAGTCCCTGTTAGTAGCCCAGTCCATCTGCCAGGTGCTAGCATGTTTGACCTTCTGATAGATGTCTTCAGAGTCCAACATGGCTGCTATCAGTGTCAGGGAGGCACTCCACCCAGCCCAGGCCTTTTCTGCGGCTGTAGAGTGAGTCATCCAATGCCAGTATATTGGGAGACTCAGCACCCGAGGGCTGGAGCATGGGGATCTCAGGCCTGCATCCAGAGTACTCTGGTCAATGCCAGGCACCTCAAAGTGGGCACTCCCAAGACCAAACATGCAACTGAGACCTCAGCTAGGTGCCAAGGTAGCAAAGGCATGGCCACTAAAGTCAGTGTCCAGCTGCCAAGAAAGGGGATAAGACCAGGTGGGCAGGCCTGGTTGGAGACCTCGGCAGCTAAAAGCCCCTGTCTTGGCCCAGGTGAGAGCTTGGCCACAGTAGGAGTTTCCCAGAGAGCATTAGTACAGTTTAGATATCACAAACATGTCTTACTCTTTGTGACTTGGAGAACTGATTTTGCAGAGTACCCACTACATACTAGGCCCAGGCTGGGACTTTTTTCATGCATTTTTTTAAAAAAAAGTGTCCATTTTTTAAAAACAGCATCCATTTTTAACTTGAATCTATCCGATCTGATTTCATCTCAACATCTGACCAGGGCCCGTTCGGAACTAGTCAGAATGTAGAACAAACAGAACACAGTCCCTGCCTTAGTGGAAGACATCTCGGTCCAGTGAGGGGTGGATGTCAACATTTCTCTACAAGAAAATAGAGGTGCAGAGAGGCCGAGGAACTTTCCCATAGTCACACCAATAAGAAAGAATCTTACCTTTGGCCTGGAGTTCTGCTACAGAAAGGAGTCATCCTGGAGCTCCAGGCCATGTAGGTTTTAGGGTGCTGAAGACCTTTCCCTAACAAAACTACCATCACCCCTATGCTGAAGCCTGTAGGTCAGAAGGGTCTAGGACATTGCCCTAGGAGTCCCCATACCTTCATGGTCTAATGTGCTGTGAACCATACTCAGAGGGAACATGTTGTTGTTCCCCATGGCCCTGAGGCAGGGAGCTACTTGGGACTGTGGGCTTAGATGCTATGTCCCAGGTTGTGGTAGACTCATAAAATGCCAGTTCTTGATGGTGAGTGGGGAATGTGTCAGTTTAGAGAGCAAGGGAGCCTTCTGTGAATCCCAGCAGGCCATCAGTTGGTGTGGCCCACCCTGGGGGCTTGAGTCCCCAAGCCACAGAGTCTCTTGCATATCAGAGTAGAGCCAAGCTCCCTCCACCCTTCAGGGTCATATCACACAGGTTTTAGGCCACGCAGCACACCAGGCCAGGTGTGCCTGTGGGAGGAGACCCTATTGCACCATCCAGAGTACGATGGAGAGGACCATATAGTGTTCTAGGGGTCTGCCCCCCATTCTACCTGTACCAGCTGGCCTGAGGCACACTGACCACCACCATGGCTGGCGTGGCAAATGCAGATATCCTCAGGAAAGCCAAGCTTCCACTAAGATGCCATGGTCCCAATCCCTTCTGAGCAGGCTCAGGTTATGGGCTTGGAGCATCTGAGGAATCCAGGAGACTTCCTGGAGGTGGTGGACCCACAGCCCGAGTCTCTTCCCTAAAGCTGACCGCCAGGGCTATGGCTGCAGGGCCTGAGCCCAGCCCTACTCCTGCCACGTCCCAGGGCTCCCTGCCAGGCGCCACCCCACCCCAGCCCTGTACAGGCCACATCTGCTGCAGCAGCCACGCCAGAGCTCCACCTCCTATCCTGTCCCCATGGAAACCAAGTGGGGGTAGCCACTGACTGGTTTCCATTAGAGCAGTCTGCTTTTCTGGAGCCCTGCCCCTGAGCTTCAAGGCCTCCCCAGAGACTTCTTCCTGCATTTGCTGAGCACCACTTAGTCTGTGCCAGGGAGCCCAAGGGTCCCAGCATTGCCCACACTGGCCGGCTTACATCAGGGAAGTATCAGGTGGGTCCAGGGCCCTGCCAACCCCTGGGGATGCTCTGGGTCTTGGCAAGTTATGGTGTTAGGACTTGGTCCTTCCTCACTGAAAACTATCACTACAGAGATTTTTATGGCCCAGAGAATCTGTGTGCCTCGATTCCAGAGCTCCCACCCAGCCGTAGAGCCTAGGGGTCCTTTCCTATCTTTGGGCCTTTCGTTGACCCATCTACAAAATGAGAGGGTCAGCAGCTTTACCTAAGTCCCTTGTAGATATACTTTAAAAAAGAAGGAAAAGGGGGAGGGAGGGAGAGGAAGAAAAGAAAAAGAAAACGGAAGCCACATCAGTGCTGGCTCCTCTAAGTTCTCAGGCCCGGGGTTTTGTTTGCTTTTGGAAAAGGTTTTTAAGGAAACTTGGTCTTGGAATGTAACAGAGATGGTGGTTGGAGAGGCCCCAGGCCAGCCGGAGCCCTCAGCATCTGTTTGGCACCCAGTGACCTGGCTATGAATGCAGCAACAGGAGGCTTCAGTCCTGCCAGCGGGTTCTGCAAATGACTGGAGAGGTTTCTGGAGATCAGAAATGTAGGCTGAAAATGAGATCCAGCTTTTAAAACCTCGGTGGGTTCATCCCTAGGAAGGTGGGGAGGCCTGCGAAAGGGATACACACTGTGGCTTTGTAAAGTTCACCCAAGGGCTGTATGTGTCTATGGTAGCTCAACCTGGCTGGCCTTTATACCAGTGGAATGGTAGCATGCTACCCTCCTTCATGGAATCGGGAAGCTGCATTAGTGTATGGGTATAATTCTTGTGTCACTGGCTCATGAGAAGATTGGCTCCTGGCTACTGGTGAGGGACCATTGAAGCTGCTGGTACTACCAAGGCTACTGAGTTCTACCCATGTTGGTCCCACCCCAACGACCAGAGCTGCTGGTATCAGGCCATCTAAGTCATCAAAGCCACTTGCATTGCTTTCTGTGCCCCAGTGTTTTCATCTGCAAAATAAAGACAGTGACTGGGACTCTGTGAGAGCTAGATGAGGGGCAGGGCTAGATAAATGGCAGCAGGCAGTATCTAAATGGCATCAGTGTGGGGTCCTTAAGATGAGCAAAACAGGCCACACATTCCAGTTGCTACTCCCCTTGTACTCAGACACCCTCTCTTGATATTGTCTGTTTCATTCTCATTCAGGTGCCACCCCAGCCTCACATCCCTAGGCCACCTGGGTTTACTGGCCCATCCCTGTGTCAGGGAAAGTAGCCCATGACGATGCTGACTTTATACCTCTAAGGACGAGGGTCATGGCATTTTCAGTCTTCTGCCCTGGACAGGGAGGAAACTTAGATGGGGACGGTGGCCTCTGATGGCTATGGTCCAGCGTGCAGACATACAACCTGATAGCTGTAGGCCAAAAGAGCTGGAGAAAACAGCATGTTGGGCTTGGCCTGGACTGATTTAGACATCCAGGAGACTAGGAAAGCGTAGGAAATGAAGGAAATTTCCCCAGGGAAGGGAGAGACAAGATAGAGGAGCTTAAGTGCCCAGATAATTACAAAGCACGGCCTGATGATTTACTGCTAGGCAGCCTGGCTCCTCTGACTGCCTCCACTACCTGTCCTTCTGGGCACCCCCATGCCCTAGAGACCAGCCATGGGGAAGTTAGAGAGGCAGTGGGCACTGCCCCACACCCAACTCCACATTGTCTCCTGGAATTGGGCTCAAAGTCAGCTCTGGAAGGAAGCACTAGAAGGGGACCAAGCTTCATTGTGCTGGGTTCAGACATCTGGTATCTGGATGGCTTCAGAGAACTTGGACCTGACCCAGCCCCTTTCCATAGACTAAGGAAAGGGGGCTATGACATCAGGCCCTCACAGACAACACACTAGCCTGTACTAGTGTGTTGCAGCCACCTTCATGGACAGCTAAAAAGCGGACCACTGCCTGTCCCTCCCACCCGAAAGAGGGCTCCCATCCATTCTCAGTTGAAGGCCAGTCTCCTTAGTGGAACATTTATTGTGGTTTGTTTTGAGACAGGGCCTCACAGTGTAGCCCTAGCTAGTCTGGAACTTGCTTTGTAGACCAGGTGGGCCTTGAGATCCACCTGCTTCTGCTCCTGGAGTACTGGAATTAAAGATGTGAGTTACCATGCCCAAGTCTTGGTGGAACTCTTAACAAGCCTTGTGTCTCCACAGCCCTGTTTTTTTGTTGTTGTTGTTTTTTGTTTTTATTAGGACCCCGTGTCACTACCTAGAAGCCCTCCAAGCCTTGTACTCACTACCTGTACTGTGGACATAACAACTCCAATGGTCTTCTCACCCCTGTGTCTACACTGGGAGCTCCTTGGGTAGGACGGCTATCACCACTCATGTCTTACAGCCTGGCTCAGGTGTGTTTTGGGGGAACATTCTGAGAGTGAAGGAATTGGAAGGAAGGTTCCCATGCCTCCATGTAAGGCACTTGACTGGGGCCTCTCCCAGGGACTTTCTCCAGTGCCGTGAAACACAGAGCCCTCTAAGGGTAATCTACCTGTGTGGAACCGCAGCTTAGTGAAGGTGGTTTCTCAATACTCTGACAGGCCTGAGTGTCCCTGCAGAGAGGACAGTCCCACTGCAGCTACCTTGTTTCTCATCATCTTGTTTGTCATTCACCTTCTGGGTTCTGTGATCAACACATACAGTATGTCTTTGTCTAGCGAAGTGGGTATACTGTGGCTTGATTATAGCTGTGTAGCAAGTGTGCACTGGAGCTCATTGTTGACTGGTGGATGGGAGCTGTGTAGCTAAGGGCCCATTCCTCATTAGCCCTGGGCCTCGGTGTCCCATCTGCCTCACTTTAGTTCTGATATTGGTGGGTAACTGGAAGGTTCTAGAGTCCAGATGGAAGCAGTTATCGTAAAAGCATTCCTGGGCTTCAACCTGAGACCCTGCATCTAGTCTCCCTAGAGACCAGGAGATAGTGCTAACCATTTCCATATCACACACATTTTGGGAATGTGTTACCCACCAATGGTTAGGAACATTCACAAGGCTCCTAACGGAAACAGATACCATAGAAGTTCTACAAGGCCAGTATTCCCCTTGTCCAGATAGCTAATGAGCACAGCAGTAGGGCCACTACCTTTAGGGTAGGGCATTTGTGTTCTAGAGTCTTTTATCTGAAAAAAAAAAACTGAAAAGAAACCAGGACTTGATTTCCCAGTTATGCTGGTATCACAGACACTGACATCCTTTGTAAAACTTCCTTGAGCATTCTAGGTGGGAGTGCAGATGGTCTTGTGTCTGGTGGTGGCTTGATTTTTCAGAATCAACTGGACATGAGTGGGAACTGGTAGTTGCCAGTGGGAGATTCTACTGAGAGTGCCTGGTGGATGGATAGGAAGCTCACACCTGGTTGCTTTCTCACTCCCCTATGAAATCCATGTATATAGAATAGGTATAAGTGGCTGCTCTTAGACACAAGTATGGCTTGGAGCAAACAGGTTCCCAAAGGCCATGTACCCTGGGAGATTCTGCTTAGCTACTTGGCTTTAGATAGAGCTGAACTTCTCCCAGGGACAACCATTCTGCCAACCTAGATGAATGGTATGACCCCCCTGGACCTGCAGATACAACTAATTGTATGGTTGTGAGTCCGGTAGGAATGAGGCTGGGCCAGGCCTCCAGGACCTTCTGCTTGGAGTTTGGTCTGACAAATTCAGTTCTACCTTAATGGACCATGAACTGTGAAAATGGCCTAAAGTGGCCCTGTCACACCAATAACTATACCATGGGACAGCTCTTAGAGACAGAGGGACAGCTTTGGGAGGCTCCTCAGCCTGAGAGGGAGCAGTACACTCTGGTTTATTCACAAGTTCTTAGGACAGATAATGTAGTATCTGTCTACCCTTGGATTCCAGTGGGGTCCCCCTGCCCAGGTTCCTGAAGATCACTCAGCTTTACTGTTTCATTATTGCCATGGCCAGAGTGGGTGAAAAAAAAAAAGACACAGGGCCAGTGTCTGAATTTAGAGGGGGCTCAGCAAAGCCCTCTACAGCTGGAGTCCCCCTTGAGCAGCCATCAGAGCTTGCCAGCAACGTACAGCCAGGTGCATTCCTGTGTTACTAAGGGTGGAACCAGGGCCCTCAGAACCACTTTGGGACTGCAGGAGCTCTATACTGTCAGCATGGGAATTGTAGGCCTTCCTGTGTCTAGAGTGGGCCCGGGGTGACTTGTGTGGCCTCAGCCATTGACCCCATAGGGCCATGCTCAGCCTCACCAAGGGTCTGGTCAGCATCTCTGTTTCCCATGGCTAAACTTCTTCATCCTGTGTAACGTGGCTCTGTACTTGTGACCTTGTTTAGAGACATGAAGTTGTGCTATTTAGAAAGCAGGGGCCCTTCTGCTGGCTCTATGGACACCCCACCATCCTGCTTGTGGAAGTTCCCCTCTTTGAACCCAAGCAGGTACAAGCTTTACTTCTGTCCAGACTGCAGTATCTGTAAGCAGCAGGCAGCCATCCTGAGACCATTAAATTGGGCAATCTACACCATGGGCCAAGAAGTAGAGGGGGTTTTACTTTCCATCCAGGCCAAAAGAAGAGATGGGTAGGGCCTAACTGTCAGATAAGGATTGGAATGACCACAGGACAGTCCCTTCTCAAGAGATAGGGTCAGAAGCTTGGACTTAGCAGCCCTAGCCATGGGCTCTCCTTTTCCTCTTGCCCACTAGCTTCTCTGTGACCTTCACAGCCCTGTGTGGATGAAGAACAGCATGAATCTCTTGTGGGCTCCCAGTTCCACCTACAGATACCAGCAGCCTCTGGAGATGGAGGAGGCAAGCCATCTTTAATGGGTCTCAGTGCCCAGCACATCAGTAAGGAGCCCTCCCCAGGTCCTTCTAGTCTCTAGGTTTCCAGAGTTCAATGAAAAATCACTCTCTGGAGAAGAATGCTGTCACTGCTTTTGGCTTGTCCATGGAGAGTAGCTCCCTGGTCCTATGGTGACAAATCCTGGAAAAGGCCACAGTTCTAAAGTGGATACCCCGAACCTTCTTACAACCCAGAGCTCATGGAAGTGTGGGTGCCTGAACCATGGTGGGCTTAGGAGGGCAGGAAGGAAGCATGCAATTCTCTGCCCATGGCCAAAACACCCAAGATACATAGGTAAGAGAGAGCCTGGGAGTCATCCAGACTAGGGCTGACTCCTGGTCTTGGTGTCCTGTTGTTAGTCCTGGCCTGTCCCCTTTCCTGGCTCATAATGACTACCGAAGTTACCTCTTGGTAATGCCCCAAAGTCCTGTTTGTATCTCACAAATCCCAGATATCAAGTGTCATTCCCAGAGTAAGGCAAGTGGTGGGACATTTGTGGATGCCAGACACTGCTAGGCCCAGAGATACATGCTAGTTGAAGGACATCCTTGTCTCAAAGATCCCAAGTCTACAGGGGCAGTACAGGCATTGTGATGTGAGGTGTGTGTGTGGTATGGGGGGGTCCCAGTGCTGATGCTGTCTGAGAATGCAGGCAGGGCTGATTTTTTGTGGGTGATCTATGGTGGTAGAACATTCTGGCCACAAGGAATTATGGGTACCATAGTGGAACTGGAGCGAAGGGAGGATCTTAGCCAGGCACTGGCAGCCAAGCCCCATCGGCCCTTCCTCTATAGTCACAGAGGACTCTAGGGTAGGGGTTAGGTCTTCTCTGCGATTTGGCTGCCTAGGAGCCAGGGCAGGGAGTTGGTTTGGAATGTGGTTCCTGGCCGGCTAGAGCTGGTTAAAGCCAGATATGGCTCTCTGGGCTGTTCTCTGTCTTTTGTGACCTGAAACTCCAGGCCTCCGGTGCCAAGGCCACAGTGAATAGCTTGTGTGGATCTTCTTGGCTGTGGGAATAACCAAGGAAGGGAAGGCTACATTACCTGGGACCCTTCTCTGTGTCCAAGCCACATGACTTGCCAAACTGACCCCTCTGTTTTGATTTCCTTATGTCTTACAGAACATGGCTGCTCCAGAGCCTCCCAGGAAAGTGAAAGCCTGTCACATGTACCAGAAGACCTCGTATGACCTCACACACAGGTAGCCGTCTGCCCCACTTGGGCAGAGAAGGTCTTACTTACCCCATCAGAAATAGTCCTGGAGAGGATAGTGTGCTGGCAGATAAGAGTCCACAGTTGTTCTTTCAGAGAAGCCAGGGCCAGGCCTCTCCTCAGAGGCTTTACCTGGTGCCAGGCCTGCCCTGCCCCCACTCCCCTAGGGGCTCGGCCTGGCCTCCAACCAGCGGGAGAGATCCTTGCCCAGGCCAGGCCAGGAGACACTGCCAAGGATTCCAGGTCCCTGCTTCAGCCCTGCCTTCTGCCCCGCAGGCTGTGATGGCCTGACTTGTCCTCTTGAAGCAGATGGAATCCGGCAGGGACAGATTGCCTGTGGTGGAGAGCAGAGTTAGCTCGGAGACAGCCCCTTGCAGCCCAGTCATGCAGTAGGCACACCTGGCCCTCTCCTCCAACCCCTCTTGCTACCTGTCATCCATCTGGACAGGCTCCATCAGAGCTTCAGCCTCAGTTTACTGATCCACAAAATGGGCAGGGATACATGCTGGTGGGGATCAGGGGCTGTACAGAGGCTATATCTCTGAATACCTGTAGCTCAGGGGAAAGACCCAGGGAGCTAGACAGACTTTGGAAACTGTAAGTGCCCTCAGGTG